CTGGTTTTGGGGAGAAGGTCAGCAGGGCACGCTGAGTTGCATGAGGGAAGATGCATGGTTCCAAACCCTGGGCCCAAGCAGGGGCTGGGAGTGGCCCAAAGAGAGGAGAGTTTCAGGCTGCGATGTCACGGTAGCTGGACCATTAGATTTGGACCTCCAGGGTGGCGATGGCTATGAGACATGGCTGAGGCAGATACAGACAGAGATGCACTCGATGGGCGACCTCCTGATTGAGGTAGTGATTCTGAGCTTACTCAAACTTCCCTGCAAGTGTCACTTGCGCATGAAAAATATGTATATTAATTGCGTGCACACAGCAAATCCTCCAACTGTGCTGATTTGGCAGAAATTGTCCCAATTAATATTCTGTCATTCCATTTTTCAGCTATTTTTTTAAAAAAATGTCCCAGTTTCTTTTTCCTCCTACCACTTTCCCCTTTTGTTCTCATCTTACTTCATTTGTTGCAAGCTGAGTTCAAAATGCAAGGGTAGTTTGCACTGAAGTCAGCAGGAGGGGATGGAGAGGGCAGAATTTTGTCCTTCCCAGTGGGTTCAGGCAAAAGCAAAAGCAAACTGCTGCAACATCTCCTAGATTACGGGTTCTTCCTCATTAATAACTGTTGTCATCTTGACTACACTCTGAACTCAATGGGCAAAATGTGCCCCAGCTTTCATCTGTGAAATGTTTCTGGATATGACACTGTTAATGTCATATTGTTTGGCACTTGTGTGCATGGTATTACAGAACTTTGTGAAGATCTGAGATTGAACATTTAACTGCTTATAACTGCAATTCAATTCCTTAATACAGTTTATTTCAGATACAGCAAGTAACTGGTGTGGAACTGTATTACCAGCCATGCTGCTAAGATAACAAAAGACAATCCAGGTAATATATTTTCAATTGAGTGGCCTTATCTGTCCTGATTGTACCGGCTTTTTCTACTAAGTGTGACTGTGAAAGATAATTACTATTGTGTGTTACTTGAGATTACAGGGTAGCTTTCCAGTTAATGACACTAGAAAAGCCAAGCAGTTGTTAATATTTAATCAAACTCCTGACTTAACAATTGGATAAATGAGGTGTGTAATTACACAATTATAAGAGACATTCCAGATAAGAACTCTCATGTTATTAACACTGAAGGTGATGGCTGTACTATTAAATTTTTCCTCAAGCGTGTTACTCAAAGAAACTTCACATGGTCAGGATTTCTCATAACAATTTTTTATTTAATTTCATTTATTTCAGGTATTTATATCCCGCCTTTCTTCCCAAATTGGATTCAATCTATGATTTGAAGGACACCTACTACTCTACACAGTTATAACAGTTTAATAACACTTTAATTGTCATGTTTCCATCCTAAGGAATCTTGGGTTTTATTATTTGGAGCAGTGCTGAAAATTCTCAGCCACAGAGATCTAGTGCTACAATTGAGGGAAGTGGACTAGAGCTCTCTGCCACACAATTGTAAGTACTGCTCCAAACTACAAATTCCAGGATTCCATAGGATGGCACCATGATTGTTAATATGTTATCAAGCTGTCATGACTGTGCACTATAGATTCACTTTTGGACATACTTTCTATAAGGAATATTATTTGTAGGGTAAAGGGTATGAAGAGAATTATTGTCCGAGAAATTTAAGATTGGTTGTATAACAACATTTCAAAAAAAAAAAATGTAATTTAAATAAATAGTAGGTTTAAAAATATTTTTCTGTATAGAGAAATGATACTTGTCATTTGTTCATTTAAAGAACATTTGTTAGCTTTGCAAAGCTTGGAAAGGTTCCTTTTTTTAACTGTAACTACTGTCACAAAGATAACTTTTCCAAACCCTTATCTTCAG